ATCGGATTTTCGTTCTGCAATAGTGTCATTCATTAAGCTCCAAGTTGCATTTTAGCCGTCCTGACAGTCATGGTAGTTTTTAGCCGTCCTGGCAGTCATGACATTTTAGCCATCCTGACAGTTTTTCCGGCAATTTCTGGTAAGTTAATAAAAGCACCATCGCAGCTAACGGATTTGCTGCAACAGTCAACTGAATGTTTCTGCGGCCTTTATCATTCATGAGACCCTAAAACTCTCAAACGATTCATTTATACAAACCTACAGTGCAAATGCGTAGCAAAAAAAAGCATGCGAACAAGCGGCTTGTGATAAAAACTCGCATGACAGTGAGGAAATAAAACTTACAGTATCCCATTTTGCCATTAGCCTTTCATTGTCAAACTTGGCGAACTCGGCTCGGTCGTGCAAAACAGTAAGTAGTTTCCATACCAAAAGCAATATCAAGCCGAGTATGACAATGCCAGCTATTACTCCCAGAACAATTGCGAGAACAGGCACTGGTGGCGGGCAGTCTGAAAAGCAAGCGAAAAACTCACTTCTACTTTTTTTATGCACTGTTCTCTGCCCGAGATACTAGCTGCTAGTACGTAGCATAACTTGGCTTGGCATAACTGCTCGCGGTAACTGGGGACATTTCGGTAACATTACTAAAATGAGGGACATCCTGATACATTACTAACATGAGAGCGATTATCGTGACATGCTATGCCTCAGAAGCAAAATCCGGAAGCAAATTGCGAGCTGGAAATTAAAATCTATATCTGGGTGGATCAAAAGGCTACCTTTTTCTTCTTTCACCCAAACTGTAAGATTATCAGTCCTTTGGTCTTCGTAGTAGAGAAAATAGAACGTGCAATCATCCGACGGATCCACAAACTGACATTCGGTTGTCTCATTCAAAACTAAAAATAAAAAAATTGAAGAAGCGAATGTGAAAAATACTGCCAAAACAACTCTGCCATTTCTCAGAAATGCGAGAATCTTTGTTCACATATCAGTTCGACTTGGCATACCTGGCAATTCCTTAACGGGAATGACAGTAAATGGACAATCGGCGCACTGTGTTTCATTATACGGGCCAGTCTGCCACTGCTGACACATTACACAGGGTTTGTGCTCAACACACTTCGATGGGCAGGTCTGAAATCCCAAATCAGATTGAAAAACTTACAATGCATGAAATTTAAAAGCATCTCCGTACTTCAAGTTTCTTGTATTTTTGTGGCTAAGCAAGTTTCTTTACTTACTAAAGCCACAAAAATACAAGAAAAAATAAGCAAGCAGAACAGAGAGTATAAATCTGAAAAAAAAAAAAAAATAGTACGTGCTAAGAAGTAAGGGGGAGTCATCGACAGCTCTGCCAGATGATATG